CCAGAGGACCCCCCCCCCCAGTCCCCCATACCGGCAAACGCCCGATTCACGAAGGAAAACCTACCTGAAGGAAGGCGGGCACATCACGCACTACCAACCCGTCCAACACCAACAGACCAGCTGGAGAAGAGCCCCCCCCGTCTCCCCCCCCCGCGGCCGTGGTTAGAGGCAACCCCCCCAGGAGACCGAACAGCACCCCGCGGAAGCGCGAAAGCGGGGCGTCGGTCTTGGCCCCGCCGGGAGAAAGGTAGACGTCTCTCAGCACTCCTGTACACGTCGTTTTTTTACATCCAAGGTAGGCGGGTCCGGCGGGCGTGTCGTCCGCGAGGAGGATAAACAAAAGGGAGGGTCGGGAAGAGTCGGGAATGGTCGGGGGACCAACAAAAAATGTGTTTAACGACGACAGAGCGTAAGCCTACAGTACCCGTGGGCAACAGTCAACGTCGCTGCCGTGTACTCTTTAACCACGAGAGGGCGGCGACACTTAAGTCAACGTGTCGACATGTGAGCGACGCGTAGTGACCGCATACAGCCCTAACCAGGCAGGGCCCGGCCCGTGCTCCGTGTCTGCATGAATGAGACNCCCCCCCCCCCCCGAATGCTGTCTCCGCACATGTCCCCACACGCGATGTTGACAAACAACAAAATTCGTCTAGCCGATAGTCCAACAAGAGCCTTTTGGAAGAACAACAGCTGACATCTTGCAAGGACCAACGCAACGACCACGATCTCTGAAAACACGCCACACCCACCTGCAATGCTGACAGTGCCTAGCTCGTCCGCGAACACAGCCAAGCAGCTCGAGCTGGCCAGCCGGCAGTGCTCCCGGAGGGCCCCCAGGAGGCAGGTCTCCAGGACCATTGTCGGCGGGAGCGCTTTCGCGACCTCGTCTTCCATGGTTGCCTCGTCTTCTTCTCCGTCGCCACCACCAGCGCATCCCCCCGCCCCACGCACGTCGCTGCTACCACCCCCGCGGCGGTGGTGGCTAATACCTGTGATGAAGCAGGATGCTGTCCTCCGTCCCCCGACGGCCGGCGATGGTTGTCTTGTGGATGGGGGCGAGGGAGGGGCGAGGGAAGGGTGCAGCGGACGCTGAAACATCGCGCCCGGCTTCAGGGCCAGCTGCGCCGTCCCTCCGAAGAAACCGAGCTCCGGGTCGTCGCCTTGATTCGCTCCCTCTGCCGCCGTCGCAGTAGCAGCAGCAGCAGCAGCAGCAGCAGCGTCGCCACCATCACCACCAACATCAGCCGAGGCCTCCTCGGTGAGTACGTCCGGTGACGTCGCCGGCCCACCACCGCCGCCATCGCCGAACCCGCTGCTGCCAGTGCGTCGATCTCTAACTCCTCCAACACCAACGCCACTGCAGTCGCCACCGTCGCTGCCATCGTTAGTGACGTCCTCGCCTTCCGGTGCAGCCACTGAAACACTGCCACTCTCGCGGTTTTTCTCCGTAGCAGCAGTGGCCTCTGCCTCTGTTCCCCCCATCTCTGTCGTAGCACCCTCTGCGCTTGTTCCGGCCGGGGACGTGGCCCCCTCCTCGCTCTCCGTGCTAGCGCTATTTCTGCCGTCGCCATGCTTCCCACCGCGGCTCTCCTCGAGGTCGACGATCCCACCTAGCCCTGACGAGGACACCGGAGAAACAGCAGCGGTGGCAGCAGCAGCATCGCCGCCGCTGCCACCACCACCACCGGAACGGCGGTCTCCTCTTCCCCTTCCCGTGCATCCGGCGCCATCGTCTTGATCCTTCTTCCTCGACGGGCCGGCGTCGTTTGCTCGCCGCACGCGACCCGCAAGCTGCCGGAGAGATTCCGAGAGTGTTTCCGCTAGCGAAAAGGTCTCGCTGCCCGGGGACGACATCGCCCCCGTCCCCGCTTTCCGCTCAGGAGGCGGTGGTGGCCCGGGACGACGGGAGCCGCCGGCGTCCCTGCTGCTCCCGCCGAGGGACGCGGGCGAAGAGCCACCACCACCGACGAGCGCCCGCACCCTCCGCATCAGCGAGATGTCTTGTCCCGCCAGGGCCACCGCCGGCGCCAGGGGCGCGAGGAACGGCGGCAAGGCCTTCGAGTGAAGCACGATCCCCGTGTCCCACACGTGCACCACAGGGTCACCACCAACAGCTGTCGCTTGGCGATTGTGACCACCAATATTGTCGGCGGCGGCGGCGGCGGCGGCGGGGGCAGCGCGGCCGTGCCCATCGGCACCACCGCCGCCGCCGATGCGGGAGAAGAAAAGCTCCCCGTGGGGGTCTAGCAGTCGCCCCTCGGTTATCCAGGAGTCAACAAGACGGAGGTACGGGGCGAGAACCTCGCAGAACACGTGCAAGAGCCAGCCGCGTCGCCGAGGTGCCAGTGCTTCCGTGTCACCAACCCCGCGGGACTTTTCTGGCGGGGTTGGCCCGATTCCTACGAGCGCACTCGACACCAGGGCGTCGTGCAGCACCGAGAGGAGCCGCCCCGTCCGCTCGTGCAGACCCGCGCCGCTGCCGCCGCCCACGTGCCTCTCGGCGTTGGTGTCACCCGTTCGCCGCCGCCGCCGATTCCGCGGCCAAACACCTTCTTCTTCTTCCGGAGGGGTCGCGACCCACCAGCCGGCCCCGTCCTCGACTAGCTGTCGGGTGAGCTCGAGGCTCTCGGCCTCCGGCCGCAGCAGAGAGAGAAGGCCCACGATGGTCTCCCCGCTGCTGCTGCTGCTGCTGCTGCTGTCGTGCTCGGCGGGAGCGTCTCCTCCGTCCCCTTGTCCTTGCTGTCGACGGTACAGCCAGCGGTCCCGGCGTGCAACGGTGTCCTCGAAGCTCTCCAGGTGGCGTCTCACGCACGCCACGAACGCCTGCGTGGTGAGCCCGTGCTTTGGGCCGCGTTCCTTGCCCCTGCCGTAGCTCTTGCTTGCGCTGCTGCCGCCGCCGCCGCTGCTGCTCTCACGACGGGGAACGCTTTGGCGGAGAACGGCCGCCGCCGCCTCGGCCGCGACCGATGCCGACCCTTCGGCGTCGGCGACGAAGGCCCGCAGGTACTCCGCCGTGCTGCCCACTCGCAAGAGGTCTTCTAGAACGCCCGCGAGGGCCTCCGGAGACAGGCTGGCAACCGCGAGGTCGCTCGCCGCCGACTCGCTCAAAGAAAACCATTCTTGACCCCGCCGCGCACTCGCGCTGCCGGTGACAACACCCCACCGGCGGCTGGGCCCACTGCTGCCCCCGCCTGTTCTCCCTCCACCGCCGGTGCCCCTCGTCCCGGCAGCACCGTGGCGCCCTTTTTGCGGAAGCTGCTCGCCTCCGGTGTCCGACGCGTCGCCGTTCACCCGTCGCACGAATATGTCTCCCGACAACCCCGCCAGCATGTGCAGCGCTGCTCGGACCACCTCGGCCTCCGGGATGCTGCGACGCCGCCTCCCGACCGCCTCCCCCCCCCGGGTCTGGCACGCTTCTAGCGTTTGGCAAGGCCGTAGGAAAGACGCACCATCGACATCCCCGTCGCGCGCACCACGTCGACCGCCGAGGTTCCGAATATCGGCTCCGATGCAAGGGGCTCCGTAGTTGTGACGAGCGGCGGGGGGGTGCGAGGCACGCCGGGTGAGGTTCTTGCTGTCGACCCCCGTGTTTGGAGAAGAAGGGGGTGAATAGGAGGGAGCCAGCGGCTCGGCAAGTTGAGTGCTAGCGCCGTTGTTCTCGACCTTGCCCCGATGACCGAAGCGTTCCGTTTCGATTTCGCCAGCGGTGCAGCCTTCATCACCAGGAGATAAACGTGGCAAAGAAATGGCGAAACAAAGCGCACGCACGGACAGACGTGACCAACGTGGAAGAGATGGGAGCGTACGCCCTGCTCTTAAACACATACTCCTACCCAAGAGCGCGGGAAACGCATCTGGGATCTTGCAAAGTTCGGCGATCGCATGCACAAAAAATGTCCACACGAGAGGTACAACCGATGCGTCGAGGCCAGGCTTCCAAGGAGCACGTGCGCGTGCGACCCACACTCGAAAGGCTTATATTTCTTCGTCCCCCTTTCATTCATCTCACTCACCATCTGCACGCGGACTGCCTTCGCCGTCATCCTCAAACGCCTGCAGCCACTCTCGTGTCCCCCCCTCGTCGACATCCTCGACCCCCGGTAGCGCCGACGACAACGACCCGACGCCGTCCTCCTCCTCCTGCTCCTGCTCCTCCGGTCCCCCCTCTCGTTCGCTGCCCTCGTCGCTATCGCTGCTCCAAAGCCGGGACGAATCGCCCTCGAAACCGGCGAGAAGCTCAGCTGCGCCCTCCCGCTCCTCCCCCTCCTCTTCGTCCCGAGCTGATCGGCCGCTGCCACCACAACCACCACCCTCGATGCTCTCGGCATCTGGAGTGTCCCCTTCCCTCTCGTCTCCCTCCACCTCCGCCTCCTTTGCGGCAGCCCACCTTTGCGAGCCCGACAGGGCTAGAGCGAGCGCGAGCGCGGCGTACGGGTGCTCCAGCGGCGGCGAAGCCGCCGCCGCTTTGTTGACGCCGCCCGTATCCATGCGGTGCCCCTCCACCCTCATGGGCTGAAAAAGAGGGGGG